ATTTCAGTGGTCTATAAATAACTTAAAAAAAGTCAAAAATTTGTGATAATTAAACTGTATATAGATAACTCTAACATTAACATTTGGTGAAAATTTCAAGTATTTACAGTGATAAGTTTTTGAATTACAACCATATAAAAAAATCGATTTGGTCGAAAACTGGTTTTGTGTAAAAATTCCCGTTTTTCTGTGATTTTTTTTTGTTTTTCTCTATTTTTTTTGAAAACTGTTGGAAAATGTTTACTTTTGAGTTTTTGACAAAGTTTGAAATTTAAGTATTATTTCGACTAGTTATGCTGTACACAGACACAAAAAAAAAAAAGCACACAACCATTGTAAAATCAATACATTCATCACTTCGTTCAGAATCTAATAATATGTACAACACTAACGTAATTAGGTCACGCTCACGCAGCTGGGAGCCAACACATCGTAATCATAATGGCGCCTATGGCCTTCATGTATGCATTAGAGAGAATAGGAGACCGAAAAAGGGATCTGATGACGATAATAAGATAGTCCTTGAAAGCGCAGAACCCAGAACCCTATATTTAAGTCACCTACCACCCATCAGTCTCTATAGACAACGTGATCGTATCGTCTGATCCACGGTGCATACGGCTACCATATTGCCCACTTTAGCAACAACCAATATTCTGATAATACCTACTAAATCCTGCTAGGTAGTGACAATATTGGACTTATTTAATAGCATTAATCAGTGTGCTTTCTTATTAAATTTCGTTTCTAGTRTTATGATTTATGAGTTCGTACTTTTTATATTCTGCTAAATCATACACAGCATAATATAGTTTTAAGGCAACTACAAATCGGCAAGTCACACATAAATACATAAATAAACATAACTATATCACATATAGTCGTACATTTTATGTATATTTCACATAAAATTAAAAATTGTAGGTATTATACGGTGTATTTGGTCAAACTTTTGAAAACACAACACCGAGGACCAAATAAAAACGCAATGTAGCAATATTTTAAAATTGTTTAATAATTTATCTGATAAGTGTATAAGAGAATCATSCAGGTTTAAACACAACTTACAAAAGTTTTTTTTATTCTCTTACTTTTATGTATATTTATTGTGATTATAAATAATGTAATAATTTATATTAGTGCTGTAGCTGTGGGGCGTCAAAATGTGAAGTACCTCACTTTAAAATAGTTATTAATATAATAATGTCCTTATGATGTTAATAATCAGTTGACCCAAACAAATATATTGCTTGCAACATATTACCTGTATAACCAAAAATGAATACCCATTAAACAACAGAATAAAAAGCCCCCGATCTATAAAATATTAATATGCCTCTGAGTTATGTCCTTTACGKCCTATACTTAAAATTCAGACGAATAATAAATAATGGGTCMATATAATTTCTGGGAAATTTTACACAATATTAAAACTAGAAGTTCACTAACTGACCARCCATAACTCGAGGTGATGTATATAATACAGCTGATTTTGTAAGTATTGAAATTTGAAATGGATGACGAACGATAAATTCATCTCTTAAAAATCTTAGTTTGAAATTAAATTTTAAATCTTTATCAATAATCAATATAAYTAAAACCATAACTCATAAGTGTGAATCGTTTTATTCAAATTTAAATTTTAGACAGTCTGTTAAAATGGGAGTGAAAATGTTATTTGGTTGAGTATATAGCTTTTAACATAAAAATCAACTCATAAATATGTAATTATATAGTACAGTATGATTTTTAACATGGGCCATGGGGTATCTGCTATTGCATATTGGGACCCAAATAGGTAAGTACATATATATACCTATATAATATAATAGTAAATATATTATATTAAAGTGCAGCGTTTCGCGGTTTTGTACGAAGTGAATATCCTCCTTGGGTAGTAGATGGACCTTAGGGCAATCTTTCTACGTGCGCGCGCACAATTCACTCGCACAGATGATACATACGCACACGATTAACGCGAAGACTGCGAGACAGCGTCATCATCATCCTTCTCCACTGCTGTTGACCCTCTTAGTACGCCGCCGCAGCATCCGATAATCACAAAATTTATTTCGCACATGCGCTCCATCGGAGTCAACAACCCTCTCACACACATACTTTACATGCACATAACATGTAAGTATATGTAACGCGTATTTATATATAATACATAATGTAAATAATAACTCGGACAGCGATCTCTCCGTACACCGCCGCGTGACTCTGCTCATGAGTATATATATGACGAACGTTTTACTCAAGTTTTAGTGACAGTATTATGGTTGTACATGATACTATTATTATAGTACGCCGACAACGCCGCCTCCTACAGCAGTCGACTCACGTGCGGAATATACAACACGTCAACGCGTCGACACGTCTTAGACGCGGTATATACCTATATCATATACACATAATACATACATATACATTATCATTAAACATTTAAACACTATATATGTATATAGCTATTACATAAATAATGCCATTGAATTATAATATCCATGTGACAATAGGTATATCTTGTGTGTATAACAAGTGCGTAAAATATACAACAGCGGTATAACTAACTACAACACTGCCTTCGAAGTTCGAGTGCGCTGAGTTGTGTTCAGGCTATTTACCAGACAATCCTCGGCGGATTATAGGGTACCAATGTATAATTATTTATTTACTATTATTACCGATTTGGCGAAGCCAAATACCGCCGAGACCGTTTACCTATCAATTTAATGTAATAATAATATTTTGAAGGCGCGCGCCTGACGATCCCTGCAGGCGTGGTCCCCCCCGACTGTTAGATCGATTCCGACAGCGTCCGCGGTCCTGCCGCTGCCGGAACAACGGAACGCCGTCCGTCCGTCTGTCGTGCGGTCCACGTCTGCCGCGCGATCGACACACATCRCGAATATGTACCACACGCAACGCGCGCGCGACGTCGGTCTGTCGCGTCCGACTACCACACGGCACACGCTAGCCTCCCTCCCACTCCGGCTGTTGTGGTCCGCGTGAGTCACGTTTTTCCGAACGTTTCGTCCGCGCCGCGAGTGACGGACAATCAATAACGTTATCACCAGCAGTACTACACTTACACTACTACACACAGCTCGCGCCCGCACACACACATGCACGTACATACGCTCGCGCGCCCGTAAACAAGCAGTACACGCAAACATACATACACGCACGTTCTAGTCTCGCGTACACGCGTATGCCGTGCTCGCTGGTCGTTTCACTGTTGTACATCGGTGCTGGCGGTACGACTGTCGCTCGACCCGACGGCCACGAACGAGACGACGGCGGCGTCTGCTGCTCCGATTTCTGCCCGCCACCGCCACCGGGCTGGACTCGCCGTGCCAGTTGTCAACATTAGTGCCATCGGCCGGGACCGTCGACGCACCGTGCAACCGCCGTTTCGTCATTAGAAATTTAATGTCGGCAAAATATAAATCCATCTGTTTCGGAAGGTGAGCCACATCGATTTGTTGTTACTGCGTTAATGTTGTCGGCAATCGCGTGTGTCCGGCGCTGTGACCGAGCTCTGGATGTCAACTACTGATGCGGCTTCCTCGAAAAGCCAGTCACAAACGCYCCAGAAGCGTTTGGCCTTAACGGACAGTTAAGGTCTCTCTCTRTCTGTGACCATATAGATTTAGTCTGATCACGTTTCTAGTAGTTGTGACCATTGTGGGCTAGCTGCTAGGCAAGTATCGTTAAATTTGTATCGAATTCYTAGTGACATTGACCCTTTCTAGTTTGACCATCAAGTCAAAAAGTACTGTTAAAATTTTTACTCGTCAGCCCTTTATGTTCTGATATTTTAAATTTAAACTACCGTCTATTACACGCTACAACAATTTTTGATAAAGAACTATACCTGTCTACATTCCATTTATTTTGATACATTTTACATTTGAAACAAAATGATGTATTACATTTGGATAACTTATAAATTTCTAGGAGTTTGTATTAGTATCTGAGACTTTTACTTAATTTTTGACATTTTTCTTGACTCATTTAAAACGTATGGTGTCATTTCATTGTCAATATATTATCTACTATTTGTTGTCTATTATTGTCTTTTACTTATGCTGTAAGTCCAACAATTTATGAGTAATTATTATCAACTAATATTGTTTGGTATATTTTTTGTTGTATAATTATCTGCTAAGATAATATTTAATGTTGGATATAATTATTTCGTAGTCCGATACCTATAATCTTTCATATTTAATTTTCTTATACTCATGATAGATTTGTGTGATCATTCAATCATGTCGTAAATTTCATAATTCTTAATAATTGACCAACCCAATATTATACACATAATGGCAATTGATAGGTATAATCTACATTCTTCATAATTAAAAATAACAAGTGTAATAGCAGTTTTGTTATTTAAACAATCGGTATAATTGTATGAATAGAAGAATTATAAATATACATACGTACCTAATAAACTTGGTGATTCATGTTGTGTGCTATTAGCGGATATTAATGTATATAATACACGAGCATTTAATTATGCTCATGAAATGTTTCTGTGTTATCATAATTCACTCATGACTCATAAAAAAATTCYGACGTTTAAATAAAAAACCTAAATCAAAATTACACCTTGACATAACACTATAAGATGTCGCCATTGAATGGTTCTTTTCTTTACATTTTTAAGTCATATATTATACAATATGCTCATAGGTATGCTAATTATAAATGATAATTTATAAAATGTCTATGTGGTTAAATAATAATCTTTTAAAACAGTATTAAATAATAAAAAAAATATTTATTTAGTAGTATCTTTGTCAAATTTATAAATTTAYCTAGATACAGTTGTAATTAATACATATAATATACACTAATATTGTTATTGTAATTAAATCAATATCACTGGTTTAGTTGTAAAAAATATACATTATGTATTTACAATACTTATTTTGTACTCAAAACATGTACTTTAATATATACAGCAGTTGAGCAGTATTAGACTAAAAGTATTGAAGTACAATAGTGTCTATGTTGGGTTTGCGGTATAAACAAATTACTAATTGATCTTTTCTTGAACTTCTAATGTTAGTTGTTAGTTACCATAACAACTACAATGTAGCCAAATTGCATATGTTTTTAATAATGGCTGTTTTGTAAGAAAACAATTTTAACATCCACCCAGTATTGTTTTTAAATATTCTAGGTAATATTTGGTAATATTTTGGTAACTCCAGTAAAATCTATTGATAATTGTTATACTTTTTAGGACATTATAATATTTCATCATTTAAGTGCTGACAATAGTTGATTAATTTGTAAATAAAAATTTTTATATATTTTTTTGTTTTAGATTTCAGAAACGGTGGGACCCGTATTTTGAAAAGCTATGATAGGCTTGAAACTGGACAATGATGATTTATCTAAGATTTTCCCTAAGTGTCGCCCATCTACTGTACGATCTACAGACTTAAATTTAAATCCCCTCTGTGACGACGACACAGACCATGATATGGATTTGACTCAGTCAAATGAACGTCAAAGAAATAGGTATTAATTTGAATATACAGTAAGCTTAGTACTTTTTTCTACTTTATACAGTCATTATTCCCGAGTTCTTTGATAAAAAATTCCTTAACGTATTATTCTACTGATTCCTTGGAGATCCACTTCAACAAGTTATATTTACTTTAATTTTAAGGTTTAATTTAAAACATTCTTTGTTATTTAAAAGATGTGATAACATACGTGGAAATGGTACTAGAAAACGTAGCATCCGTGGAATAAGAAAATTTCGAACTCGCAGAAGAAGTGATAGTGATGCTAGTCAAGATTCATCATTAGAAACTAGTATTGAAGACGATGAAGAAGAAATTAATGAAAACATGGATGAAGATGATGATGATGAATCTGATATCAAGAATGCATCCAGTGAATCTGGAGGCATGTGTAATGTAGACATTGGGGCTGCCAACCGAACAAGAAACTCAAATAAAATCAATCAACAATCTACATATAAATTGAGAGATTCAAGGTTTGTTATTACTTTCTAAATTTTCTTAAAAAGTTTATCATTTATATGGTTCAAACTATTTTAAATTGTATTTGTGATTAACTTGCAGAATAATTGAAATTGCTGGAGGTCGAGAAGTCTATAGTCAAAGTCGAAGTAAACCTGGGCGAAAAACTCGTCAGTTACCTCTGCCTACAGAAGTTGATTGGATCAAATCACCTGGCCGGGTATGGGAACTTCGCAATAAGTAAGTCAAAAATGTAATTTGGTATTTTATTAGAAAGTTTCATTTTATGGTAGGTACATACATTTTTTATTTACACTTCAATATTATTTTTAAAACTTTATATTTAATGCTTATATATAATGCATTTTGTAGGGGACTTGATGTTTCTAGTACTGAATCTTCACGAGAGATTTCGGAAGTAGTATTTCCTACTGATGTAAARCCAACCAAACATCAACGACCATTATCCTTAGGTAAGTGAATAAGTGTAAAAATGAAATAAATTTTTTTTTAAATTTATTTAGAATTAGATGMTCCAGTTTTGTTTGATGATATACATAATGATATGTGGGATAAAGTTCAACACGATGGTTCAATTGGGCATTATGGATTACATCATCATAAAAATACRTACCAAATAATTGATTCTTGTCAACATCATTTAAATTATAAAGTGTGTATGGCTGTTTTTTTATATTTTAATGGTGACTAATATTTTTTATTTTTTTTTCGATAGACTAGTCAAAATGGCGATATAAATATGATTGCTAATAGTAATCGATCAGAAATATCAAGCACTGAAAACACTGATGGATTAATTAGGTCTCAATGTGAAATTCAGGCAAATGATTTTAATGGATCACCAAAACAATACAGGGAGGAAGAACAATCAATGCCTTCTTTATTATCATCTCCTACACTTTATATGCCTCGACCAGGATTTCCTCAAGTATGCTTATTGTATAAATAGTATCAATATTATATTGTTAATAATCTTTATAATTTAAATTTTTCTTAGAGAGTGATTCAAGATGATTCTAGGTCTTCCAGTCCATCTCCAACTATGAATTTCGATTATTTGTATGAATTTTCAGAGACWAGAAAAGTTTTAGAAGAATTCTTTAAATCAGGAGCTGAAAATCAGGATACTCAACAGTTACAATTCCAGGTATCAAATTATATTTATTTTCATGATATTATATCTTCACAATCATTGCACAGTATATGCCTTAGTCTTGAACAATTTTTTTTACACAAAATTAGACAAGATTTTACTTTATTATACATTAATATTAAATGATTTATAATTTATTTTACATATAACTTAATATATTATATTTTTGTTGATTAATGATTATAATTATTATGAATGGTAGTATATTCATGAAGCAGGGGTGGATTTAATGGTCGTTGAGTGGCGACAATGTTGGTTATAAAAATTAATATATTGTATTTAGTGAATCGCTTTGCWTTTTATTGTTAATTATTTCCAGGGCTCGGGACTTATAGAACTTAAAACCATTAAAAAAGATCTTAAAAGCATCATCATAAGCACTTAAATAATGATTTAAAAACTTAAATTTTTGCATAAATATTTATCAAAAAATTAAAAAATCAAACAAAATAAAAATAAATCTTTATCCTTATATTATAAAATAAATTTCACTTTCGATACTTTAAAGATTTTATGGATTTTCTGAAAAATAAAATGTAAACAATATTTATAWTATTAGAAAACATAAAAACGTAGAAATACTGGTCAAATAACCAAAAATTATCAGAAAAACTGGAAATAAACATTTTTTTTAAATCACTGAAACAAGCGAATAAAAGCACTTTCAAACTTCATAATAATTAAAGGTATTATAACATGATATACATTTCCATAGCACTATGCCACTATGCTACATTTTAAGTCAATCCATAAAAATAAGCAAATACTTTAAGTCCCGAGCCCTGATTATTACTTATTAAAGCACGGCCAGCAAAACTTAGTGGTTGACCGTCGCGATCCTGGAGACAAATTTCTGGCAAGATATACCTTATATGATTATATATTATATGATGTGAGGATACACAACATTTTCATAAAATAAWTGAAACACAGTTACATCAACTATTCATTTAATAAATAATATTTTTAAAACTCCTGGTTTACATGAAAATGGYAGCCTGGCATACAACAGTTAACCACCTAGTTTTGCTAGCCGTACTATAGTTATAACTTTATTAGTAATAAATAGAATTTGATGATTTTATTTGATTAACTTAAACATTTCCTAGGATTTGGAGTATGAGTTACGAAGAAGAATACCAGTTTCTGAACAAAGTAATACATATGTTGGCATGCATCTATCAAATGAAGATGTCCAYAAAAATTCACAGTTATCCCCACATAAACATGATTCATCATCAGATGGTTCTCGATGTTTAGCTGGAGTTCATCAAGTATGTATAATTATTTAATTGCTGAGTATATAAATTACATAATGTACAATGAATATTTGTTTAGAGTTGTGTTGGAAGATATAGTCGTAATGTTACTTTATCACCTGAAGTAACAGACTGTGAAGATGCTGGTATTGGTAGTGATGGTGAATCATCTTCTATGGTAGATGGTCAACACTTAATTCCATTATGTGGTGTAACATGTATCACCATGCCAGTGTTAGAAGATGGATTGTCTAGTGGTCACACCAGTGATACTGATAATAATAATCCAACTGTATGTAATTGTATTTTTATGTTTTTATGATTTATATAATATGTTTATGTGTTTAGGTATTATTAATGAAAAGACAAATTAGTGAGATTGAAAGAGAAATAATAGAACGTACAAATAGGGCCAGTAAATGTGATAGCATTGATGCAAATGCAAGTGAGGTACATTCCAATAACCAAGAAACTGGAATTCAGTTATTGGATTCACTAGGTTTGTTAGTTTATAAATATACTTAATAGTTCAAGKTWAAGTGGTTGCATCTAATTTATGTTATTAAAAATGTAATCATAGTAAATCATTATCTACACTTAACAAAAATAATTTTTTATGCTATCTACTGTAATTTGAACATTTCAAACTTGATTATTCTGAGCTAATAAAACCATTTGAGATGTACAAATTTAAAACTAAATTTTCCTTGARTTTTGAAAAGTTTGTAAACCCATCTTTAATAATCATATAATAAATAAATATACAATACACAATTATGTTTAAATATATATTCCTGTGTCATAAAAGTTACTTAGTACTTAACAATTATTTGTTTTTAGTGAGACCCGATGAGAGTAGAACTCCACCTCCACCAGCACCAACAGCACATCGTAGTGGCAATGAATCTGCTGATTTAGTTGAAGCTGCTATTCATGAAATAAGATCTAGTCTTAGACAAACAAAAACCTTAAAAACTACTAATGTGGATGATGATATAATATCTCCAGGTTGCAGCCCTAGTAAAGATAGTACAAATTCAAATACTGCAAAAACTGAAGACTTACCGATTTGGGTACCTAGGTACATTATAATTTTTTTAAACAAAGTTGCAAAATAAAATTGACTAATATTATGAAATATTAATAATGCTTATCGCTTAAGATTGAATGTAGAAATTAGAATTTGTAACATAACATTATTTATTTTTATCGTAATCCACACATTTTTTTACTAGGCATAGAGGAACTGGATCTGGACCTAGCGGCGACGAAGGTATGGATACACTTATTATTTTTTTTTTGGTTTTTAGTTTTACTTATTAATGTTTATTTACTAGAAGAAGCTGATACAGACTTAGAAACTGATAGACTTTTAGGACAACAAAGAACTGATGACACTGGATTCTTCGATGAAAAATCTGTAAGTTTTTCAAATAGATTATAAAATTTGTTTTCCTAACACTTTGATAACCCCTAGTGGTTTTATAGTATTTACTCAAGTGGCGTCTATTGTTTGAGCAATTGTGACATGTGTTTCTAACCCAGTCGGTCAATTATTTTAATTTTTAATTTTAATTTTTGAAAAAAAAACAAGTATTTAAGTTATTAAAAATTAAAAGAAAACAAATTAGTTTTGTATAAAATATCACTACAGGACTGGAAGAAGTCAAAAACACGGTCTATGTTACCGTTTAATTTGACGTCGTCATCAAGCAATACGTCCTCACATCCTGCACCCGTAGAACCGGCTGCTATAATTGAAAAACCATTCATCGTAGCCCAAACCCTTAACCCTACCAAAAAGGTTTGCCTATGTGCTTTTGTGTTCAATTTTAGAGATTTTAATAGTTAGTTTGATTTGATTTGTATTTTGGCTGTAGTTCTTTATCATCAATATGACACAATTGTTTTTTTTTTGTATTTGCATTAGCTTTTAATTAGTACCTTCTACCTGAATTTCTCACAACAAGTGATGTTTTAAAAAAATTAGCACCTTTTGCTGATTAATAAATTGATTTTAAGTGTTAATTCATTATTTTAAATATTCTTTCACAATTACTGTAACTAGTTAATTATCTTAGAATTGCAATAATAAGTATTTGATTTAATAAGTATGTGATTTTTAAAAATCA